CCCCAAAACCCCAAAACCCCAAAACCCCAAAACCCCAAAACCCCAAAACCCCTTGCTAACAAATATTCATTGTTAAATTAAAATGGATAAGTCCCAAGCTTATGAGGTTGTCCAAACCTTAGAGAGGTCAGAAGAAATAGCTCAGATGATCATTGAAGAATCCAAAATTGTCGAGACTGTACTCGGAGTCGACTGTGAGGGCATCCTGAGAGGAAGACCTCTCTGTCTAATTCAGGTAAAGACATTGTTGAACAAGCTTATTAATCATTTTAGGTTTTCTTCAAGAATTGCACATATGTTTATGACCTTTTAGAATTTGACCCCTTCGCAGGACTACTCAGAGATGTAAGTATTTCAATCTTACCTAGATCTTAAGAATTTTCTCTAGGTCATAGAATCCAAGAGTATTATAAAAGTCTTTCATGACTTTTGTGAAGATGCGGCATCTTTAATCACCCACTACGGAGTCAGGGCAGAATGAGTTTTTGATACCCAGATTGCTCACAGGCTGTTTTCTAATACCTTAAACCCTAGCAAATGAAGTGAGAATAATTCAATTAGCCTAAACTATTTGCTGAAGACTCACCTCGAGACCTTTAATGAATACAAAGACTGCATCTCAAAGAAATTGAATGATGACATTACTTTATGGGAGAAGCGACCATTGACTGATGAAATGATAAACTACTCTATTCAAGACGTCTGTTTTCTTCCAGAAGTTTACAGAGTTTTTCTTGAGAAAGTAGCCAAATTCTCAAGTCTCATTGAGTTCGACCTGATCAGTGATGTTTTTAAAGACAGCCGGAAATGTAATACCTATGCATACATCAACATCAACTGTAAGAACTTAATGAGCTGTAAAGTTGGACAATATTTGACCGCATTTTTAAAATAATTTTCAAAAGTTCTGAATCTACTGAAGCCTAAACCTAGGCTGTACCGGAATCGTACTTGACTCACAGTCTTTAAAATTCATCAAGAGTTATTTCCAGATGGGAGATATGCTTAACTTGGAGATTAAAAGGATTGATATTGAGGACAAGAAGATAGTAAGCCGAAACTTGCGGTTAATCCATGCATACTTTAAGCCAATAATACTTGTCCATTTGAGAAATTTCAGCCTAGCGCATTAATTTCCTTTCAAATTAGAAATTCTCACCAATTGTATAGGTCCTGACTGTTCCTGACTATTATCTGAAGATGGATCCGGATACGATTTCGTACTACTGCTTCTATGCGAAATCTCAAAACGAGAAGAAGCTGACGAGGGAGTATATAAATATCTATTACAACAAGAACCAAGCTGAGAGTGCCCCAAAAACTAATTTGAAATTAACTAGTAGAACATTTTTCAAGACCACTAATTCGGTCAGGGAGAGAGGATATTCTGACAACTCCAGCTCGATAGAAGCTGGACTCGATACTTCAACCAAACGGGCTTTGAAAAACTCCGAGTCGACTGATAAGCTCCAGAATATTTTAGAAGAGCAGAAAACAGCTGTTCCTGTTGCCGGAGAGGTTGTTAAAAAGGTAGAAAATCCTCCTGGTGATAATCCAGAAGAGTTACCTGATGAAATCCCGGAAAGGACTCACAGAAAGCGTAAAATTAAACCCTTGATTGATAATCAAGACGAGAATGGCTTCACAGAAGTGCCCAGGGCTAAGAGATATTTCCCGAAGAGTCATCAGGGTGGGGCCAAGTCCAAAAAGTTCACTAAGCAAAAGAGAAAATGGACTAAACAATAGCCATCACGATATAGGTTTTTAATTGAAGTTTGATTTCATTTTATTTTCTAAAATTTGGGGTTTTGGGGTTTTGGGGTTTTGGGGTTTTGGGG